TAACTGGCTTAGCGTGCATCTCAGTACAACCAGAATTGCTCTGTAACATAGAGCCTTCACAAATTAACCCAGCGCTGTTGGGTATGAATGAATTCCCATCTAACCAAGGCTACGCTGAGAGCATTGTCTGAGTGGTGACTAGGAGATAATCCAGTGCTCTTTGCAGTCTGTTCTACATTCAGAAATAACTGGTAATCTCATTGCAATTGCAAGGAAGACCAAAGTAGGGGAGCAAAAAGAAACAATTTCTGGGGTAAGTACTGGTAGAGGACTTTATTACATCAAGTTCTCAGCTGGAATCACCCCCCCTAAATCATGGGGTCATGGGTTGATATGGTGTGGCCCTTGACTCACAACCAATACAACTTCTGAATTCTGAGTAATCTGTACATAAACATACCTATGCCCGCATGTGATATAGATATGCCCAAGTGCCTCTGTGTATATAATTCCAGGCTTTGTTTCTACAAATTGCTTGCTAGTGTGATGGGTAAGAATCAGAAATCAGCAGCAAACCAAAGCAAGTGGGGAGTTCATGGCCACCAGGCAGGGCTCTCTGTACTCCACCAACACCCAGCAGGAAGCAGGCAGGGAAGGTCCCTGAGGTTACAAGGGCTTGGCTAGTTTATTACGCTCATTCTTATGGGCGTTTTTATAAGAAGCGAGCAAAGTACAAAATATTTTATAGCCTTTCAGATAGAAAGTATGACACCACATTTCAAAGAATAAAGGCCCCCATAAAGATGAGCACCTCACTACAAGTTCCTTTGGGAATCAATGGGAAGTTACTAAGTGCCAGAGCTCATCTGATACACAAATAAACACCTCTCTAAGTTTTGACTGTTAAGACATAAAATTTAGAGATGATAGCCCTGCAGCTACACAGTGTGGGGAAAGAGTTTAGGTTTTGAAGTCAAACATACCTTAGTACCTCCGTTCACCAATGGGATCTTGGACATTGCCTAACTTTGCCTAACCCAGTGATTTCCAATCTTTTTCATCTCATGGTACACATAAACTAATTATTAAAATTCTGTGGCACACCAAAAATATAGTTTTTGCCACTCTGACAAAAAAAGGTATAAAAAACAGGTATAATTTTATCCATTCATACCAGATGGCTATTGTTGTGTTGGCTGCTATCATTTTTTTTTAATTTGACAATCTAAGGGAAAAGAGGTCAGTGCCTCTGACTAAATAGTCAGGTATTGCATGTTTAAAAAATTCTTTTGGCACACCAATATGCCTTTTGCAGCAACTGGTTGAAAATCGCTGGCCTAACCAGTTCCCTAATTTGTAAAATGGAAATAATATGTGAAGATAATGTAAAGAAAGCACCTTGTGAATGCTTACCAACTGTTCATTTTCTCCTTTTCTTCCTTTCTAAATGATCAGCTGAATTAACTAACTACTGAGGAAGATTTCAGACCAGTAGCCCAATACAGCTCTGAACCCCTCAAGAGTAAGAAAAGTCTAAAAGTTAAGCTGCAGAAAAGGAGAGCAGTCTGTTTCATTAACATTCCCAATGATCTACAACTGCATGGGAGCCAGACCAACCCTGATTCTATTGATTCTATGGACTGGAGCTATCCATGTGAGTATCTGTCTCATTACTGAAGCTAGAAACGCCTCAAGGGAATGTATGGAGACTGAGAACCCTAAGAACCCTTTCTTGTGAATGAATCTCCACAGAACTAGGGTAAAGCCTCAGAGTTTGATTTTTTATTAAAATTGAATGATTTTTATCTTCTCTCCCCACCAATTAGTCCTGAAATACCATTCTCTTTAGCTAATTTTGGACCCCTCTAAGGCTTATTCATAGGCCAGCTTTCACATTTTTGTTCCCCATTTTATGCCCAACAACATGCATCAAATAAATTTACATTGGCAGTAACAAAATAGTCACAGGGATGTAAGATACAGCATAGGTAACATAGTCAATAATATTGTAATAACTGCATATGGTGCCAGGTGGATTGTTTGAAATACCAGGGGGATCACTTTGTAAAATCTATGATTGTCTAATCACTATGCCTTTACCTGAAACTAATACAAAATAATATTGAATGTCAATTGTAATTGAAAAATACAAATTTTTAAATTAGTTTATGCACAGACTGTTTCTATAGGAGTGGGCCAGTTGGAGTGAAAAGCTAAACTATGCCTGTGTCCTAATCTATGTTGACACAATTTCACTGGTTAGCTATATCCATTCAACAGACCCTCTGTTTTTTCCTACAAAGCCTTTTGTACCTAAGGATAGACGCAAAGTGTCCTCATGTCAAGATGGCTCACCAATCCTTCACCAATCTGAGATATTCTTTGAGCTACTTGTAGCATTTTGCTCCACATGCTATTTTTTGGGGGGGGGGAGGGGGGCTGTCCCTTTGACCAAATGAGAGATAGAAACTTGGTCCCTAACAGTGCCCCAAACTGTGTAAGTGACTCAACTCACCACCCATTAGCTGCTAGCAGTATTTCAGCAAGTTCTGTCAGCTATAGGTAATGGGGAAAATGCTAACCACAGATTTGCCTTCTTTGCTTTATTATTATTATTATTATTATTATTATTATTATTTTAGAGAGAGAGAGAGAAACATTGATTTGCTGTTCCACTTATTTATGCACTCATTGGTTGATTCTTGTATGTGCCATAACCAGGGATTGAACCCGCAATCTCAGTGTATCAGGATGATGCTTAAATCAACTGAGCTATCGGGTCAGGGAAGATTTGCTTTCTATAGGACTTTTTGTCATCATCATCATCACCACTACTCCCCACTATTCTAATCTGCTGCTTGTTCACCTAATAAGGCCTGCACAGAAATGGAAATGTGGTCATTGCTTTATCAGTTCACAAGACTTCCCTACAGACTCCTGGAAGTTCCCCTTCAGTTTTTTACAGACAGGGAACCAACAAAGACATCCTCCCTCCCGCCTCTTCCTTAATCCACATTCTTTATTTCCTTCTTCTTTCAGTTCCTTCTACCAATTCACAGCAATTACTCTCTCTCTCTTTTTCACTCAATCCTCAACCACTGTTGATTCTTAGTACTAGGACCGGACAGCCCAGACTCCCAGGAACATCATCAGGTTGGGTAGATTCTGAGTCAGTATTGTATACATTAATGTGTGTTGTGCCTGGTTCAGCTGGACTATGCCACGATAATTGACTCATCCTAAGAGTACCGATGACATTATGTTTGTAACATTTAGTTTATTCTTATCATACACTGATTTTCTAGAGACATCTCAGTCATCCCTATTGAGACATCCAGATAATGTAAGCTCGTAGTTGTCCTTTGTTTCTTTATCTTGCCTTGCAAGCCACCAATGCAATAATTCCCAGCCAGCAACATAACCCACGAAAACAGTCTTGTTAGACTCTGTCCACTTGCCAGGAGAGGGAACTTCCTCACAGTTACTGTAGCCTAATTGGTTGCTTCAGAGAAGTCATTAAACAAGAACATGGAATACAGCTCTCAGGTTTTATCAGAGCTGTGGCATACACTGTAAATGAACCACCATAAGGACCCCACCCCTCTCTCTGGTCCTGATAAGGCAAAGGTTAAGGTTCATCTCCGTCTGCCACATTCTGTTTCCTTCTGTCCAAGCCAGGACACAACCTCTGGAGCCAACTGGTTCCTCTCTCGGCTGGCTCGAAGAACAATATTCTTTTTACAGTGTTGTATGGTTAAGTCATACACAAAGTAGGTGCCCAAGAAATACTTATTAATGATCACGACTCAACTACTCAGGTAGTCATTAAGCTATGATTGGTCACCCGTAGCCCCTATTTTACCATATCCTCCCAGAGAAAGCACTTCCATCCCTTTCTACAAAGTCGGCCACCACCACTACACTCCGCAGGGAGGCCAGTCAGCCTGGAGCTCCTGGACCTTCCTGCTAACTATTCAAAACCCACGCAGCTCAGGTTCATGCTCCATCTCTCTCCAAGAGCCTGTCAGGCTAATCCTAACGTGCCTCGTATTCCCATTTACCTCGGTCACTGCCAGAACAAGCCATCAAGCCCAGCCGGCGTAGCTCAGTGGTTGAACATTGACCTGTGAACCAGGAGGTCACGGTTCGATTTCCCGTCAGGGCACATGCCCAGGTTGCAGGGCTTGATCTCCAGGTGGGGCCTGCAGGAGGCAGCCAATCAATGATTCTCTCTCATCATTGATGTTTCTATCTCTCTCTCCCTCTCTGAAATCAATAAAGATATATTTTTTAAAAACTAAGCCGTCAACATTGTATACTCATCCCAGTACCCTTGAGTTCCTAACCTGGTCTGAAACGCCCCCTCCCAGCCTCCCCAAACTCTTCCACTGTATCCTTTGCAACTCCAAGTCTGTCACCCTCAAAGGTTGTGGTAGACCCCTCCTCTTCTCTGAACATTCCTGCCACCTCCTGGAAGTAAATGAACCTGGTTGCCCCAATCACCACATCTTCTGAGCAGTCCTCTCAGGTAGAAACTGTTTTTACTTCTCCCCTCATATCCCATGCACCCCAGGGCCAGGGGGTGTAGTAAATGTCCTGCTTGCCATTTCCAAACTATTTCTTTACTTTCCTTCTTCTAAACATACAGCTCCTTTAAAGTCCTCAAGCCCTTCCCTTTTCAATCACTAAATACTAGTCCCACTAACTGTCTTTCTGTTCTTCTAGCATACTTTGTGTACAGTCCATTTTTCTATCTTATCTATAGCAGTATTAAATTAGGTCAAATATGCTGCTGAAATCAAGGTACAATATGCTATTATTTAAGGCAATAACTCTTTTATTGATTTTTAGAGGAAGAGGAAGGGATACACACACACACACACACACACACACACACACACACACACACACTAGAGGCCTGATGCACAAAATTCGTGCAAGGGGCTCAGCCCTCACAGCTGCAGCAGCTGCCTCAGCCCTCGCTAAGAATAATATTTGCGAGAAGACCTCGGTAGCGCCAGGCAGCAAGCCCTCGCCATTTCCAAGTGCCTGCTTTTAAAATGGCAGGGAAGACATACAAACTACTAAACTGTGACAAGCACAAGTCTATGTTGTTGAAGAATGGGCGGGACCCGGGGGAAGTGAGACCAGACATAGCTCACCAGAGTTTACTGATGCTGATGGACAGTCCCCTGAACCGAGCTGGCTTGCTGCAGGTTTATACCCACACACAGAAGAATGTGCTGATTGAAGTGAACCCCCAGACTCGAATTCCCAGAACCTTTGACCGCTTTTGTGGCCTCATGGTTCAGCTTTTACACAAACTCAGTGTTCGAGCAGCTGATGGCCCCCAGAAGCTCTTGAAGGTAATTAAAAATCCAGTGTCAGATCACTTCCCAGTTGGATGTATGAAAATTGGCACTTCTTTTTCCATCCCAGTCGTCAGTGATGTGCGAGAGTTGGTCCCCAGCAGCGACCCTATTGTTTTTGTGGTGGAGGCCTTTGCCCATGGCAAGCTCAATGTGGAATATACAGGGAAGATGGTGTCCATCAGCAACTACCCCCTTTCTGCTGCTCTAACCTGCGCAAAACTTACCACAGCCTTTGAGGAAGTATGGAGGGTCATTTGACAGTAGGACCTTGCTCTGAAACAGAGACTATTGACATTGCATCCCTTGACTCTTCTAACTCCCTGTTGGATGATGACCTTCCTGAACCAAGACTGGGGTTAGTGGAAGCCAAGGCTGAATGTACATTTGCTATTTGTTTATCTTATAAACACTGTTCTTGCAAAAAAAAAAAAAAAAGAATAATATTTGCTTTATTGAAGCTATTTTAAAATTATAGCTATTCTTTTATTCTTTCCAGTTGAAAAGTATAAGATCAGTGGTTTTCATTTTGGTCTTATCTTTAAAATGAAAAATTTAATAAAGTAACCAACTCATGTAAATTAAAAATATGAATAATAAAATGGCAATAAATACATATCTATCAATAATTACTATAAATGCAAATGATTAAATGCTCCTATCAAAGGACATGGGTGGCTGAATGGATAAGAAAACAAGGCCCTTATAATTGCTGTCGACAAGACTTGATTCAGATGGAAAGACACACACAGACTGAAAGACCTTTGTATGGAAAAAGCTATTTCATGAAAACAAAAAAACAAAGAAAAAGCTGGGGTAACAATACTTATACCAGACAAAATAGACTTAAAAACAAAGGCTATAACAAGAGACAAAGAAGGACTGCAATTCCACTTCTGGGTACTTATCTGAAGAAACTCAAAACACTAAATTGAAGACATATGCATACATATATTCATTGCAGCATCCTATCTAATAAAAGAGAAACATGGTAATTGGCCGTACATCTGCTACCCTTCCCATTGGCTAATCAGGGCAGTATGCAAATTAACTGCCAGCCAAGATGGTGGCCGGCAGCCAGGCAGCTTGAAGCTAACATAAGGCTTGCTTGCTTCAGTGACAGAGGACTCCAACGTTCCCCACCTGCCTTGCGGCCTCTGAGCTTGCAGTTTGAAACATTGTTATAAATATAGAAGCTAAACAAAACCCCAGAAACCTGCTTTCAGCCTGCCGGGATCTCAGAGCTAGAGTTGATACAGTGTTTCAATTATAGAACCCAAACAAACCAGATACCTGCTTTCAGCAGCAGAGGCCTCAGAGCTGGAGTCAGAGCTAAAGCTGGCCCAGAATAAAAAAAAAAAAAAAAAGGAGCAGTTGGGAGCTTCAGTCATCCGCCAGCCTGAAAACAGCCCTCAGCCCCTCACCCAGACTGGCCAGGCACCCCAGTGGGGACCCCTACCCTGAAGGGTGTGTGACCAGCTGCAAACAGCCATCATCCCCTCATCCAGGCTGGCCAGGCACCCCAGTGGAGACCCCCACCCTGATCCAGGACACCCTTCAGGGCAAACCAGCCAGCCCCCACCCATGCACCAGGCCTCTATCCTATATAGTAAAAGGGTAATATGCCTCCCGGCACCGGGATCAGCATGACAGGGGGCAGCACCCAAACCCCCTGATCGCCCTGCGGCTCTGTGTGTGACAGGGTGCGGCGCCCCAACCCGCCCACCCCTACGGGCCCTGCTCTGTGTGTGATGGGGTAGAGCCATAACCTCCCCATCGGCCCTGCCCTGAGTGTGACAGTGGCGGCACCCCAACCCCCTGATCAGCCCTGCTCTGTGGGTGATAGCAGGCGGCGCCCCAACCCCCTGATCCGCCCTGCTCTGTGTGTGACAGGGGGCAGTGCCCCAACCCCCTGATTGGCCCTGCTCTGTGACAGGGGGTGGCGCTGCAACCTCCCCATCGACCCTGCCTTGAGTGTGACAGGGGGCGGTGCCCCAACCTCCCAATCGGCCCTACCCTGAGCATGACTGAGGGTGGCATCGCAACCTCCCGATCTGCCCTGCTCTGTGCATGACAGGGGGCGGCGCCCCAACTCCCCAGTCGGCCCTGCTCTGAGCCCGACCAGGGGCTGCACCTAGGGATTGGGCCTGCCCTCTGCCACCCGGGAGCAGGCCTAAACCAGCAGGTCGTTATCTCCCGAGGGGTCCCAGACTGCGAGAGGGCACAGACTGGGCTGAGGGACGCCCCTCCCCCACAAGTGCACAAATTTTTGTGCACCAGGCCTCTAGTTATTTATAATAGCCATGATATGGAAGCAACCTAAGTGTCCATCAGTAGATGCATGGTTAAAGAAGTAATACATATGTTACTCAAGGTTCTTGGAAACTCCATAAAAATAATATTCAAGTGAGAGGTTTATTAAAAAGTTCGTGCAGCCCTAGCCGGCTTGGCTCAGTGGATAGAGCGAGCCTGCGGACTGAGGGGTCCCGTGTTCAATTCCGGCCAAGGGCACATGCCTGGGTTGCAGGCTCGTTCCCCAGTGGGGGGTGTGTGGGAGGCAGCCAATCAATGATTCTCTCTCATCATTGATGTTTCTATCTCTCTCTCCTTCTCCCTTCCTCTCTGAAGTCACTAAAGAAATATATTAAAAAAAAAAAAAAAAAAGTTCATGCAGCCCTGGCCAGGTGGCTCACTTAGTTGGAGCACTGTCCCATAAACCAAAAGGTTGCAGGTTCAATTCCCCTTCAGGGTGCATACCTAGGTTGCAGGTAAGGATTTATACAAAAGCTCATGCACAAAAAGAAAACAGCATCTGAAGAGAGAAAGAAATGGCTGTTGCTCCCTGAACAAAGGCAGGGAACAGTTTTAACATTGAGGCAGGAAAGATGATGTCTGAATGTGACATCTAAGTATGTAGAGGTAGGAATTCTTTGAAGCTTGTGCAGTGGAACTACACACTTCTTTTTGCACCCAATGTTTCATTAATGTATTAACTATCCACCCAGCAGTGTGTTTTTTACTATTATAATGAAGGTAAGGTTACGCAGCAGTCATTCTGGGGCTAAACTGCACTTTCATAAGGGATGGGGAAGTCTCTTTGCCTGATAAGGCGGTATCTTGTGATTACTGGCACCATTCTGACTGGCCACTGATTGAGTGTAGGATTTGAGGGGCAACTAATGAAAATTCTAATCTTATATAGAAGAGGCTCAGTCTGTCTCAGGTAAGTAGAATGGAATATGTCTCAGCCATGAAAAAGAATGAAATCTTAACAAAGGGGACATTTGTATATTTTCAACAATAAAGATAAATTTAAAAATAAATAAATAAATAAAAAGAATGAAATCTTGCCATCCTATCTAATAAAAGGCTAACATGCAAATTGACTGAATAGTGGAACAACTGGTCACTATGATGCGCACTGACCACCAGGGGGCAGAGGCTCAATGCAGGAGCTGCCCCCAGGTGGTCAGTGAGCTCCCACAGGGGGAGCACTGCTCAGCCGGAAGCCAGGCTCACGGCTGGTGAGCACAGCAGCAGTGGCAGGAGCCTCTCCTGCCTCCACAGCAGCACTAAGGATGTCTGACTGACAGCTTAGGCCCGCTCCCCACACACTGGCCTAGGCCTCCCTCTTTGAGGCGATCATGGAGCAATGACGGGGGCCCCCTGACCAATCACATTGCACCTGTCTTGGCTGGCCTGGTGCCAGTGTGTGTCATAGAGTGGTCGTCTGGATGGTCATTCTGCCATTCGGTCGTTCGGTCAATTTGCTTATTATGCTTTTATTATTATAGAGGCTGGGTGCACGAAATCCATGCACTGAGGGGGGGGGTCCCTCATCCCAGCCTGTGCCCTCTCGTAGTACGCGAGCCCTCAGGGTATGTCTGACTGTTGGCTAAGGCCCCCTCCCTGCGGGGAGCGGATCTAAGCTGGCAGTCAGACATCCTTAGCACTGCTGCAGAGGTGGGAGAGGCTCCCACCACCGCTGCCGTGCTCACCAGCTGTGAGCCCGGCTCAGGGCTTCTGGCTGAGCGGCGCTCCCCCTGTGGGAGAGCACTGACCACCCGGGGGCAGGTACCTGGGACCCAGGCTTCCCTCTGGCCCTGGCTTCATCTGGAAGGACATCCAGAATGATGTCCAGAATGACGTCCGGCCTAATTAGCACATTACACTTTTATTATAAACTAGAAGCCCATTGCACGAAGATTTGTGCAATAGGCCTTCCTGCCCCTGGCTGCTGGCACCGGTTTTCCTCCAGCACCCAGGATCCAGGCCTTTGGTCCGGCCACAGTGGAGAAGCCAAGCCTTTTCAGTCTTCAGTCTTCAATCTTCAGTCTTCAGTCTTCACTCTGGCTGGAGCCTTCAGTCTTTGCTCCGCACCTGTGTATGCAAATTAACCACCATCTTTTTTGGGTTAATTTTCATAGTCGCTCTGATTGGCTGGTGGTTGTAGCAGAGTGACACCAATTTGCATGTTTCTCTTTTATTAGTGTAGATGGGTGGACCTAGAGCAGTGATTTTCAACCCTTTTCATCTCATGGCACACATAAAATAATAAAATTCTGTGGCACACCAAAAAAATATATGTTTTGCTGATCTCACAAAAAATAGGTATAATTTTGATGGATTTACCACAAACAAAAAACAAAAAACTAAAAACAAAAAAAACCCCAATAGTGATTAACAACTTTTTTTACTCCAAAGTGCGTTTTTAAAAAATCAAGTGCCTATACTTGTATATAAGAATTTCGGGTACCAAGAATTAACCAATCAGACACAACCTTCTTATGCAACATGACCAATAAGATGCAACTCTATATGACCTGTATATTTATGACCTATACATTTATGGTTTAAGGCAGGGCATTTACACTAGACAACTACTGTGTTGGCTATTGTCTTTCTCTTTTTTTATTTGACAATATAATGGAAGAGAGGTCAGTGCCCCTGCATGTTTTATAACTTTTTGCAGCACACAGTTGTGTGCGGTGGCACACTGGTTGAAAACCAGTGACTTGGAGGGTATTGTGATGAGTGAAATAAGTCAGACAGAGAAAGACAAATGCCATATGATGTCACTTAAATGTGGAATCTAAAAAATAAAATAAACAAGCAGAACAGAAATAGACTCATTGATACAGAGAACATTTTGACAGTTGCCATGGGAGGGGGGTTGGGAAGATGGGTGAAAAGATTAAGTACAAATTGGTAGTTACAGAATAGTCATGGGGATGTAAAGTACAGTATAGGAAATAAAGTCAATAATATTGTAATAAGTCGGTATGGTGTCAGATGGGTACTAGATTTATCGGGGTGATCCCTTTCTAAGTTATATAAATGTCTAACCACTGGGTTGTACACCCAAAACTAATATATTGTATGGCAACTATAATCTATATTATAAAAGGCCAGTGGCCATAATGACCAAACAACCAGTCACCAGGAGGAGCATTGATGGGTCTCGAGGCATGGCGGGTCCGGGTCTCGCATGATTTCGCGCTGGGCCTCTAGTTAAAAAATAAAAAATTACTTGAAAATTCAAAAAATACTTCGATATAGTTTTTAATCTTATCATATTTCTTTTGTTAATACTCACCAAGGATATTTTTCCCATTGATTTTTAGACAGAGTGGATGGGAGAGAGGGGGAGAGAAAGAAAGAAAGATCCATGTGAGACACACCAATTGGTTGGATCCAAATACCCTAACTGGAACGGGGAACAAACTTGCAACTCAGTTACATGCCCTTGACCTAGAATGGTACCCACAACCCTCCAGTGTGTGGGCTGACACTCTATCCGGCCCGCGGGCCGGATCCTGCCCGTTTGAAATGAATAAAACTAAAAAAAAAAAAAAGACCAGACCCTTTTATGTAATGATGTTTACTTTGAATTTATATTAGTTCACACAAACACTCCATCCATGCTTTTGTTCCGGCCCTCCGGTCCAGTTTAAGAACCCATTGTGGCCCTCGAGTCAAAAAGTTTGCCCACCCCTGCTCTAACCACAGAGCAACACCGGCCAGAGCATGTCATATTTCTTTCTCAGTCAAATATTATCTGTCAATTGACTCTTGTCAAAATTAAAAAGCAACATCTATAAAATTTGACATACTTGGATATGAAATCTTACAAAATATTAAGAAATATTCTTAAATATAGCACTGTAACTACACAAGATTCACAATCATAGCATAAAATGAGAGTACTTTGCCTGGCTGGTGTGGCTCAATGATTGAGCCTTGTCCTATGAATCAGGAGGTCACAGTTTGATTCCTGGTCAGGGCACATGCCCAGGTTTCAGGATCAACCCCCAGAGTGGGGCGTGCAGGAAGCAGCCAATCGATGATTCTCTCTCATTGATGTCTCTATCTCTCTCTCCTTCTCTCTTCCTCTCTGAAATCAATAAAAATATATTTTTTAAATGAAAGTAATTTTGAGCAGTGAGTGACAAATTGAGGTGTTAGTGAGCTATAAAAATAAATACCTTAGATGTATGCTCAGATATTATGAGTCAGAGCTTAGTGTGGTATTTGTCATTTATTTAATAATCATGTTTACTCAATTCACTTTACTGCAATGACCAATTTAATAAACAGCTGTCAACTTGATTAGGTAACAGATTAAGACCTGGCAATGTAACATTTTGCAAGTAAAGCCACAATAACCAGTTAGATTGTTCTTGTTAAAAGTACAGTATGTGTAGTTTGGAGGCTGGCTGTGGGCAACTTCCTGAAATGAAGAAGAAAACAAAAATCTGGTTAACTTGTTCCTGATTTGATAGTACTATTCTTTTAACTTCAAGTTGTTGAGCAGATCACAAAGTTCCAAAACTAGGTCTAGCAACTCAGATTTACAGATTTAAAACAGTGATAGGATTTTCTTAAGACTTCAATCATCAAGTAAACCCTGGCCAGGTAGGTCAGTTGGTTAGAGAGACCTCCCAATACATCCTGATACTCCAAGGTGACAGGCTCCATTCCTGGTCAGTGTTCTTATAGGAATCAACCAATGAATGAATGAATGGGGGAAACAACAAGTCGATATTTCTCTCTCTCTCTCTTCCTAAGTCAATTTTAAAAATATATAAAAAAAAAATCAAGTAGATAGATCATTAAATGTTCAAGTAAAATCCAAATTAGACAGCTATTTACTGTAACAATGTGATTATTTACATTAATCAATTTTCAATAAGAGAGTACAACACACTTAAATGATCACTCAATAAAAGCATAATTTTTTACAGGATACATACTTATAAAAATTAGCTGAACCTTAAAATTGGGTTTTCACCGTTCCTCTTTTGAACTTTTACTCCAAAATTTTCTTATGCAGAAAATAAAAAAAGCCTTTTAAAAACAGATTAGGAAACATTTGAGATTTTGCTTTCCAAAATTGTCCAGTTTGGGCTCAAATAAAGTCTTATAAAGATTAAAAAACAAATAAAGAAAAACAGATTATAATGATATTTACGCTAACAAAAACATTAAAGACCATATTTTGTTATTGAATTACAATTCTTTTAAGACTAATAATGTTTAATTTGAAGTCATTGCAGTGAGATAAATTATTATCCAGTGTTTCTATTTCCCCATGTTTTCAAAACACTCATCAATATTGTTCCCTAATATTAATCAAACCGGAGTGATCTCAGTTTCCAGCATTTGGCTCAATGGGAATAAGTTTTCTTACATCTCCAAGGTCTAAAAAAGGGGAAAGAACATACGAACTGGTCATCCCCCACCAGCCAGGGAGATTTTTTTTCTCTCTAGATTCAAAGGAGTACAATTAAACTGATAGGTCTAACTCAAAGTTTTTTTTTTTTTGGTTTTTTTTTTGTGGTTCGATAGCTCTCCGCTTCTCTTTGTATTCCTTTTATCTTCCAAGTTCCTCTTCCTCGCCGCCTCACTCGCTCTTCCAGGCCCCATTTCTTGAAGGTTTCAGAGTTGTGCTCTGTCCGATAAAAGAAACCGCATTATTTTCAAACCCCCTTCTGTGGCCACCGAGGGTCCCCACCCAGCCGCAGCCCATCGCCCTCCCCGCTCCCACCTGCCACCGCAGAAAGCACCAGGTGGCCGCGGGGCAGGGTGCGCACCTGGAGAGGGTGGCGCCCCAAGACCGCGCAGGCGGTGGGGGAGGGGAGCCCGCTTCCTCCCCGCCCCCGCGCTCGGGGCGGTGACTCACCGCGGGGACCCACGGGCAGAGGTGAGCAGCCCCGACCGGCGCCGGGAGGCGGGGCCGCCAGGTCGGGCAGGTCCGCTCCGCCCCGCCCCGCGCCCAGAGTGCGCAGTCCCTCGGCGAGTGCGCGTCGTCCGTCCCGGCCCCGGAGCATCCTGCAGCGGCCTCTTCGCGCTCGCGCGCCCCACGCCTCGCGCCCGGCCGCCCGCGGGCCCCCCGGCCCCCTCCTTCCGCGCCCTCTTCCTCGCGCGCAGCATGGCGCCCCCCCAGGTCCTCGCGATCGGGCTTCTGCTCGCGACAGCGGCAGTGGCCGCGGCTCAGAAAGGTCGGAGCGGAATTGTGGGCTTGGCCTGGGCTCGGGGTGGGGTGTGTTGGCTCCCGGCACCTGAGACGGAGATTTGGGGAAGGGGAGCGCGGCCGCGCATTGCCGTCTGGAGACCAGACCGCGCGGGGCGGGGCGGGGGTGGGGGCGCAGGAAGGCGCCCACTCGCGCGGGGCAGAGGGAGCAGCCTCGTTGGGCGGCTTTGCTGTCTTGTATAGGGAGGTGGCCGGGTCAGGGACGGAGGGACGGGGCGGGGGGGGGGGGGCGCGGGCAGGAGATGGAGTGGCCACGTCCGGGGATTCTTCGGACTCTGTGTGTGCGAAGCACTTGGGGTTCTGGAGGGGCCGAAACCGGGTCGGCCGGGAGCGCAGTCTTGGACGGCGACCTGCCGCCCGCTCTCCGGAGCACCTGCGATGGCCCCGGATGTGGGGCTCAGGAGGGGACAGGTGGCTGCGAGAGGCCACCTGCGGGGAGCTCACCCGGGCCGCTCCTCACCTGCGGGCGGGAGAGAGTCCGCCTGGACCTTGACTCCTCGGCGTTGTAGGTGTTTTCTTTTCTCTAAGGATCTTATAAGTAATGCCAGCTTTAGTGTAGGGGACCCAGAAATATCGATAACACTAAAGGGTAAAAAACCCCATAATCCCGCCACTTAAAGAGAATCCCATAATTAATAATTGGGTGTATTTTCTCTTTAACCTTGCTCTAAATGTTGCCTTAAATCTAAACACGGTTTTATATCTTGATTTCCACCCCCCACCCCCCATGCATCCAGAGTTTGACATTTTCTTTAGTGTTGGGAAACACTATTTTTTTTATTTTTTTAAAATATATTTTATTGATTTTTTACAGAGAGGAAGGGAGAGGGATAGAGAGTTAGAAACATCGATCAGCTGCCTCCTGCACACTCCTCACTGGGGATGTGCCCCCAACCAAGGTACATGCCCTTGACCGGAATCGAACCCGGGACCCTTGAGTCTGCAGGCCGATGCTCTATCCACTGAGCCAAACCAGCCAGGGCAGGAAACACTATTTAAATGGTGACAGGATAGTCTATATCGTGGAAGATCACACCATTACTCTGGGATAAACATCTTGGCTGTTATCATTTGTAAGATGGTGGGCAGGAGTACATGGCTATTGACCAAAGTTTTCTCGAAAGGGTTTTATACCCTCACAAACAGGGCACAGCCTAATTAATTATCCTTTCAAAGTAATGCAGTTTAAACAACTCACGGTCTTCTAGATTTTGTCTGAGGTTAAATACTGAAATCCTAAAATCCCTTTTTCAGTGATGATAGCTGCTATAGGCCTGTGTTCAGAAAGTGTGTACATGATTGGTCTGTTTTAAACTTGACATTGCTTGGACATGAAAAGTGTTCTTTGAGCAGGTATAGTGCTTCATAAGATTTTAACTCTGAGGACAGCGACTATACTTGCTCCATTTTTTAACCCTAATATTTCGTTTTGTGCTGATATAGGTGGTTAGTATTGATTATAATTTAAACGGGGCAAAAATAAAGCCAACTTGGGACATGAAGGATTAATATTAAAATTCTTTGGTTTGCCACACTACTTTTGTTTTTAATGATTGCACTCTTAACCAGACAAAAGAAATTAGGTGGGCTTGCCATTTCGAGTTGAAATTTACTTTTGAGATAGTCAAGGATATAACTATTACACTGACATCAATAATCAGATGGGCAGCAGAGTTGGGTACCAGGGCCCCTGGCTGGTGTGGCTCAGTTGGTTGGAGCCTTGTCCTGTCCCATGGTCCTGTCCCCTACACCTAAAGGTGGTGAGCAACCAATTGATGTTTCTCTCTCACATCCATGTCTCTCCCTCCCTCCCTCCCTCCCTCCTTCCCTTCCTCTCTAGAAAAAAAAAAAGTTGGGTATGTCTTAGGAAACGCACATACTGAGGTGCTCCCAAATTCAATTGAAAGTATATATTTTTTAAGATACCATATAGTCCAGCAGGTGCTGAATAATTTCCTATTAAACCCCAAAGCAAGCATCTCTTAATAAGAAAATCCGGGGTCGGGGGGAGGAGGAAGGGAATGGGATTGTTGATCTTGGAAGAAGAGTCAGTAGCTTACAGGCAAGGGTTTATCTTACCACAGGAAGGAGGGAAGGAGCTGACCCTGGGACCAAGCTAAATATGATGTTTAGACGGCTGTAGTCTTGGTTTCGAAAATCAAAACAGCAATGTGTGCAAATAAGACTATATATCTATATTAAGTTATGTCAGCCACTCCAACTGTAGCTGAAAAGTAAAACGTTCAGGACCACTTTTTAAGGCTTTGTGTCCCCATAACTCGGACACTATTATCACAATGTAATTTAGCTGGGACACCAGAGTCGATAGTTGGATTCACATTTTAAAGTGGGTTTTTTTCTTCCTAGAATGTATCTGTGAAAACTACAAACTGACCACAAACTGCTCTACGGACGCGTATGGTCAATGCCGGTGTACTTCAATCGGTACACAACACACCGTCATCTGCTCAAAATGTGAGTAGAACATCTTCAAGGCCTTTCAGCTTTATTTTGACTTACACTTCTTTAATGGTGTGTTTTGAATTGGGAAGCCTTTTACTGGCTTAAATCTGAATCATATTATTTTGTCAGTTATCGTACTCCTGACAGCTTCTTGTCTTTAGAAAGTGAGTGGGGAACATGCCAGTCTATAATAATCTTTGGCCCTGGGAGTTTGAAGTTAAATTAAAATTTCTTTCCTTTAAGAATAAAACTGCAGTTATTTTTCAGTATGACGTTCAGAGTTTTTTGTTTGTTTGTTTGTTTTTGTAGTGGCGACCAAATGTTTGGTGATGAAGGCAGAAATGTCTCACTCCAAGTCTGGGAGAAGACCGAAACCCGAAGACGCCATTCAGAATAACGACGGACTCTACGATCCTGACTGTGACGAGAACGGGCACTTCAAAGCCAAGCAGTGCAATGGCACCACCACGTGCTGGTGTGTGAACACTGCTGGCGTCAGAAGAACGGACAAGGACACTGAGATAACCTGCTCCGAACGAGTGAGGACCTAGTGAGTTGGGTTGCCTCTTCCATTTGTTTTTATGCTTTTCAGATTTGTTTAATTAAACTTACTTTTTAATAAGTAATACAATGTAATGATTTAGAATTCAACAGAGAAAAGGGCGTACAGTGAAAAGTCTCCATCCTGTCTCAAGCCCCTAGTTACCCAGTTTAACTTTATAGAACTGATTCACCAGTTTATCCTACAACCTTCCAGAGATATTTTATAAATTTACTAGCAATATTTATATTTTTTCTTTATGGTAGCATATGAAAAATAATTTCCCTTTAATATTTTTACTCGACACTGTTCAGTATTTCAAAGTTGGGTTAATATTAAATGTATATGAATGATTTAAGCTACTTATGTACTCACTTATAGTGGTGCTTTTGTTGCTTTGTTATTTTTTTAAATATTTTTTATTGATTTCAGAGAAGAAGGGAGAGGGAGAGAGAGACAGAAACATCAGTGATGAGAGAAAATCATTGCTCCACAACCCAGGCATGTGCCCTTGACTGGAATCAAACCTGGGACCCTTCAGTTCGCAGGCTGACATTCTATCCACTGAGCCAAATCAGCTAGGGCTCACTTATAGTTTTAAAGTGAGATATGGTTGTCTTGAGGATTATGTAATGAAAAAGAACAGAAACACACTCAAGCTACCATAAGCAAAAAAGGTTTTATTGGAAAGAACTAGAAACTGAAAAGGTATCAAGACCAAGATGGTCGCTCTCTATGCTTCTATCTCCTGGAGCTTCGAGGTTACTTTTCTGTTTCTCTTGGTGTCTTTCTGTGTCTTCGCTGGACCTCAGCCCAACATGACCAGAGGCCAGAGAGTCAGTGTTAGAAAGGATGTTCCCTCCTGGATGAGTTCTTTTTTTAAATTCAAGGAAAAGTTTATTTAGAAAATCACAGAGGTAGGAGAGGTGAGTCATAGAACAAATGGGCTCAGGAAACAAGTTACAGAGGCAAAGGAAGGACCCTTGGAGCTTAGGAGAAAGAGAGGCAAGGAGAAAGGGGTGGGGGATCTGGGAGAGAGGGTGGGGGGAGGTGCTGGGGTGCTCCATAGAGAGAGCCACTGGATGAGTTCTTTATGAAAGATCTGTGAGGGCCAAGGAAAAAATTAAAGGCATATCTTTTGCATAAATCCTTTTCCTGTTACCTCTACTAGGTTATTAAGAAAATAATATAATGTAAAAGTCTGAGCTGTTACGGTTAATAGTGTCTTTTTATTTTACAGCTGGATCATCATTGAACTAAGACACAAAACAAGAGAGAAGCCTTATAATAGTCAAAGTTTGCAGACGTAAGTGCTATTCAGTGTATTGTATTTACATGGTTGATGCTCAGATCCTCCATCCTACGTTAGAAAAACTAAAACAAGCCACAGTGCTTTTTCGTGTTTCTTCAAAAGATACTATACATACTATTTTTAATCTTATTTTGAAATAGATTTGTAAGAGTAATAAGATTTCTCTAGTACCCCTTTACTTAGATTCACCAGGAAACATTTGCCACATTTTTTCTTTATATGTGTATGTTTGTATGCATGTGTGTGTGTGCTTTGTGTATCTATCTAAGCATGTATGTTTCCCCCAGAACCATATGAGAGCAAATTGTAGACATCATGCCCCCAATGTTGTCCTTTATAACAATTTTTTATCCTCTGACCCAGGACCCAATCTAAGATTATGCATTGCATTTAGTTGTCATGACTGTTTTCTCTTCAATATGGAACACTGTTTTGGCCTTTCTTTGTCTTCCATGACCTTGATAATTTTG